TTTCCCCCAGAATGTTTAAGTAATATATCTTCTAGTTTAAACTCGGTGTGCATTAATCTGAAAGTCTTGGAAACAACCGCGAGGCCGTCTTTTTCTTTGCATTGTGTAGAATCGCTATGGAGTAGAGCGCGTCGTGTTCATGCCACTACAAGTACACGCGCGTGATCGTCTATGGAAGATGCGACTGAACTGTTTGTAATGGTTCGTACTTATCGAATTCAAAACGACAGCAATTGCACTTCGGGCACACTGACTATGTCAGACATCCATTAACAATACATGCGTTTTAGGTGGCCGATTCGTTCGGCCAGATGGCATACGGGGCGGTCTCAGATTTGCCTGTCACTCACGAAGTCTATTCATAAAGTAACTGCACAGCTAGTTGCTGTCAACTCTAGTGAATATTCAAACCAAATTTGAATGAAATTCACAAAAAAAATTTGTAGGTACTTTTCAATATTCATCAACCATTAATCAATCTGAAGTTGATCGACGGTATAATCGACATATAACCCAATTTTGGCTTGTGTGTGTGCCGGGTGCGCGCGCGCGTGCAACTCGCCGCGCGCGTGCAGCTAGTTCTTCACGCGCGGTACTGCATGCTGATTGGCTAATGGTCATTTGTTTACTGCGTTTGCACGCAGCTAAATCAGGTCACCGCGTATTCGTTAAAATGTGTATTAATTACTTCCCAAACCAGTGCGCGCTGTAATTGGATGTTTGTAAATGAAATGATGATATCAGAGCTCATTAAAGTTTGTCACCTCGCCCGTGTGTACTTGTTGTAATGAATATTTTTTCAACAGCTTGCATACCTTGCCTGCGAGTTTTACATGTATTTTCCCCTTCCCCACACTGAAACAAGTTCAATGTTCTTACGTTCAAACAATGTTTCTTCGTAGTTCCATAGCCCGGGGGGGGGGGGGGGGAGGGGGACACCCCTGACTAATTTCCATTGCCCACCAGGTCCTCCCCCTCCCTCGCAAAAGAACCCGAAATTTGCTCCTCGCCAGAAAAGTGCCATTATGAAAATCAGCACCCTTACTGTTACTCCATTATCATGGAGGCAGCCATTTTGAATCAGAGGTTTGTACAGACCAGTAAATAACCTGCCCAAGACTATATAGTGATTATTATGCGCAAGTCCCAAATTATTAAAAAAAATACTCACAACTCTCCAATGTGTTTGAGACACACATCGGTGTCTGACGTTTCTCGAGTTCAAGACCGCCACGCTCCCACCACTACCTGCTCTTTCACCTTGGTATTGGATCATTTGCATATCCAAACCAATTTGATACGTATGCAAATGAGGAATAGTCTGGTGTCTGCCTGTGCTTTTACATCAGCGTTTGTTTTTTTTGTATGTGGTGTCTAGGGTAAAAACATAATCAATTCGTCGCGGCGTTAGTTGCGAAAACACGGGAGGGGGGTTCAACGTTAAAATGTTACAATCTTATCCGGCCAATATGCAATATCACATTTTATATAAATATGAGCAAATTGGAAAGGAAATGATCATTTTTGAGGTGTGGACGTAATAATTGCAAAGAACGTGGAAACACGTAATGCACGTCGAAAATAACAACACCAAGTACATTATACGATACCAATCCATTAGCTGCTTTTTGCCCTATCGAATCAGGATACAGGAAGCAAGTTCCCATTCCATGGCTTTATAATGGAAACGAGGTTGAAAATGAAGTTAGCCCTGGGGACGAGGTTGCGCCAAAGCGTTTCCGTGTGGCGTCAGTGTACACAGCAGCATATGACATAAGGGATCGCCAGACACCCACGATGCATGATAACAAGTGGCATGGCTGAATTTCAGGTAAATCTACAATGTATAACATGATTAGGAAAATGGGTGTAGATGAGAAGGTGTGAATGTCAGAGGAAAGGGGAAGGGGGCTAGCGTGTTCGTGAAGAAAGGTTAGTCTGCGTTAGGGTTAGTCTGCGTTAGAAGCTAGCTAAAGACATGTAGGTATCATTTCGACAGTCATGGCTGTAATCTTTACCGTCACGTACTGTCGGCGTAATTTGTAGCGCGATATGGGACAGAGGGAACCTCCCCCCATCTTTTGTGTTGGTCATTGTGGCACCAGAATCTCAGGAATTCTCAGATATCTAGGGACGTGTAAGGTAACAATAGTCTCGGGGGTCTATAGGGTAAAGGAAGATTGGGGGGTACCCCTCTGTCACATATCAGTACGTTCTCGCATTAGTTCATCGAGAATATTAAACAGGAAAATCAAAAATCATAAACATGGATTTCTCACAAAATATAGACACCCTTTGAAAACCAAACACAGAGTGCACTGCAGAACAGCTTACTTTAAAGGTGGGTTTGTATTGCAAAAAAAAAAAGATTTTGAGTATACAAAACACCAAAACAGTTGACATATTTTTGCAACTTTGAGTGTTATAATAATATAACACTCAAATAATTCGTACGTCGTGTGAATTCCTAAATTTTGTTTCCAATTAATTTGTTCATTATTTGTCCCCTATGTTCAACGAGATGATTTTTTCAATTCCGTGATTTGGAATTCAAATTTTCTTCAAAAGCCCACTTTTGTATTGTCCCATATAAATGCTTCACAACATAATTATCTGATACAAAAATAGCATATCTATATAATATAGGATGGCTTTGAGGGGGATACAAGAATATATTACACGATCGAGCTATAACAATATTGCTATATAGTATTGTTATAGCGAGTGCAATATATTCTTGTATCCCCCGAAAAATAGCCATCCAACATTATTATTATTAAGGGAATAAATGTGAGCTTGGAAGGTTATAATCACTCTGTTTAATACCACTTGGGTGCTGATAATTACCCTCGGCTTCGCCTCGGGTAATCATCAGCATCCAGACTCTAAGTGGTCTTAAACAGAGTGATTAATACCGACCAAGCACATATTTATTCCCATTCATAAATACCTTTTCGGTGGAAAAAAATCAAAACTTTTCGGTCACAAAACCTGATTTTCTTCAACAAGTTCAGTCCATGTTTTGTGAAACACCCCTCTTAGCTAAATAATGGAGTGTGCAGCTCGCAAGTAAGATGTAAAAAAAAATCCTTTTTATGAAGATTGGTGCGCGCGTCGCGTGTACTGCGCGATGTCGCGCAGAATGCACCTGGGGCGTTCCGTTGTGAATTTAGAACTACTAGTGCAGGGTCAGTCGGAAATGTGCCTGTTCGGAAGGGGCAGTTGAGAACTGCAGCTCTTGCAAACAACGCACATTATTCAATGGTGCTTCCACAGGTTGAACGCACACTCGCAGGTTAAACGCGCAGTCATGTCGTCTCCCCTGGCACTGATATTTACCCTACTGGACAATATGGTATCGCCCTACAGTAAGAGTTGCTCAGTCGACAGCCTACATACAGTGCAGTGATGGTTGCTCAGTTGACTACAAAAAGCATGTGCCCGTGCATGCCACTCACGACATATATGTGCATTTTGCAAATCGCTATAACTTCTGAAGTACAAGTCCGATTGGGTGGAAACTTGATTGGTACCCATACTGAGTTGTGTTATAGATAAAAATTCAAGTAATGTCATCATCAAATGTCATGTGACATCCCTTAATGGGGCATTTTTTCTATTATAGGTCTATAGCTACATAACTATATGTTCCATTTGGTTGAAACTTGACATGTACGTATAATATGCTGTTATAGATGACATTTGTAGTGACGTCAGTACTAGTTCAACACATGCACAGAGTATTTCAAACATCCGAAACAGCTTGTGTTTGTTATGCATTTTTAAAAAATATTTTATGCTAAGTTTTATATTTTTTTATTTAAATAATGATATGCTTGTTAATTATTTTTTATTCCATTGTATAAATCACACGAAGCAGTAAGTAAAAAGATTCCCGTTCGTTTTGTTTTTCGGAACCAGTGATTGCAACAGTTCTCGCCAGTTTTCCTCTCATATCTTAATGCAAAAGATTTACCGTTGTGTACGATGCAGCTACTCACCAGTAGCCCTAATAGTTTAGAGCAGAATTTTACTATACCCATGCGGCCATGCAAAGACAAAAAAAGCCATAAAACGGTTATTTATTAGTAAAACATATGTTGCATAAAACTACAAGGATGTTACAGGCTCCGTAAAGTCTGAAATATATCGATACTGATGCTAATTTTGGGTAGCTGCGTGCAGCACCAGAAATGCGCTTCAAAGGTTACATTAATAATGTCTTCCATTCACACAAGCCTGAAACACAGCAATGAAACACTTTTGGGGTGATGGGTACTACCAGGTTTTCCCCATTAATCTAAGAAAGGCGCTTGGAAAACCACAATGTATTGTTTCCATTCTTTAATAAAAAAAAACTTTAATAAAAAGCTTCGCCAATTTACTTGTAATTTATCACTTTTTTTTTCATCCATCTTGACCTCTGTTTATTATGAAGGTTTACAAATGGTTGCTTATTATGTACAATTATGAAGGACTCAAGCCAGCCTCTTTTTAACTGTTTTGTGTTTGGTATTAGACTCCGTCCACCACAAATAAATTCACTTCCTTTTCGACAATCTTTTGTTCCAAATGCAATTCATCTGTTTAATTTCTTAATCAATCGATAAATAACACCTTAACCAAACATACATTTGTTCAATATGTTTTGTTTAACATGTAATTTTTTAATCGAATATACACATTAATTGATATTAATATGGTTTATAGCGTAAAGTAATTGTTCTGACTTTTTCTGCCTTTTTATAATGCGGAAACAATAAAGGATCATCCTATCTATACTTCCTTCAAATTGTGAACAAAACACTCTTGAGTTTAAATCAGGACCAACATTTTTTGTGTTCGTTCTGCCATGTATTTACCGATAAGCTTTACTTCTTGCCTCCGATAACCACTTGTACGCATGCGTGTGTAATTTCTAATTAAAAGTAATGGTCCGAACATCTGGTATAATTTTACGCCCCTAGAGTCAGATTTACTAGATGGGCTGTATACTTCAAATGACTTGTTTCGACAAAACTGGCTACAGCTTGAAGCCTGCTAGGCCTACTTCAAAAAAGGCGTACTCAGCGCTGTTCTAGCGCATTCGCTCAGTAGACATCAATTTGAAAGCATCCAGTGCATTTTCCCTGCTGACTTCGGTTTTCAAGTCTGTTTGAACCTGAAATGTAAGCTTTGGATAAACGTTGCCAGATTTGATATGCAAGTTGCTCAGTGGAAAGACGAGCGTCCTATTAACTTTGTTCATGACGAGAGACTGTCACAGGGCCTATACATTGATATGACTTAACATGCAAATGCTAAAAAAACGACAGTAACATAAGCTGTAGGTGACTATTACCGCTGCATCTAGTCAAACTCTACAAAACAGCACAATACCGTAATCTGCCCAAGAATGACACAAAGTTGTTAAAGACTCGCGCTGATGTACATTTTACATAGGGAAAGAGCGAAAGAACCAAATCATTGCAAGTTTCTTAAACGTCTGTCTTTTTCTCCCTCTTTTTCTAGATTAGCGAGAATGAAGGTTTTCATGTGCCTGCTTCTCCTGATGGTCGTTGGATGCACCTTGATTTTCGCAATGACGGAAAGTAAGTATGTATGTTATCCGCATGTATGTCATCGACGAATGTCACCCAGAAATATGAATAAATATTATGAGACTTGCTTGAAATTGGACCGAAGTGATACGAGTTAGAGCTCTATTTTCCCCGTCCGTCTGAACCCCTTTCTGAGGGTGCCTTTTGTACAGACGCGAACGCTCGACCTGTATCCCATTTCTCAGCCCTTAATTCTGTGACTGATATAGTCAGCGCTTAACAAACAACACAGTTGTTTATGTTTACAATATGGCACTGTCTCTACTTGCACGCGGCAAGCCTAGAAAAAAACTCACTAAACCCACCAAAGTACACAGTAAAGTGAGTTGACCCCAAATTATTCCTAAAGCAATATAGCCTAAGCAATCATTTTGTTGACATAACGGACAACAATAAGTAACTTTACTAGACTGGTAACGCTAAACTCGGCAGACCTCCGTTGTTCTCTAGTTCTATAGTTAGCGAACTTCAAAAACGTACTCATTTGAACTCATTCGCGTGAATTTTCATAATAATGACCGTAACTGCCAAAACACTGTATTAATGATACGACGTCAGTGTACAAAGCAAGATTAAAACGCATTTCCAAGATCAGGCAGTGCTTCCACTTTTAAGAGATATTCCTTATTTTAAGGAAATTTTAACGTCCTGAAATGTTCAAAGAAAATCCAAAATCGGGAGGAAATTAAAGGGAAATGTCATAAACGTAATTAAGGATAACACAAGAAAATCATTTTCAGACTGAGAGGCTCAGCCGAAGCCGCAGTCTGCTTAAATTCTTGACAATGAGTGCAAATGATATGGACACACTTTCTTGGAAAACTGAAAAACTATTAAACAGGCCGGGAAGAAACGCCATTGTATGTATCCATTTTTTTGTCATTACAACAGAGATTTAAAGTTACCTTACCAAGGTAATAAATATTTGCTGGACCGGTTTTAAACAAGTACGTTTAAAACCAAGGCGAGGAACAGAGTGGTTAAAAAAAAGACACCAACATTTGACAGCAATTTTCACCTTATTTTTAAAATGTTTGAACTGTCGATTAGTAAGGGAATAAATGTGTGCTCGAGAGGTTTTAATCACTCTGTTTAAGACCGCTTAGAGCCTGGGTGCTGACAATTACCCGAGGCTCGGGTAATTATCAGCATCCAGATCAATACCTTTTCAGTCATAAAAATATAATATTTTGGTAAAAAAAATCCTGATTTTGTTCAACACGTTCACTTCATGCTTTTTTAAACATCCCTCTAGCTAAATAATGGAGTGTTCAGCTGGCGATTAGAATGTAAACAACCCTTTTATGGAGATTGACGCGCGCGTGGCACGTTCTGTGCGATGTCGTCGCAGAACGCTCCTGGGGCGTTGCGTTTTGAATTTAGAACTATTATACAAATAATGAATGTTTGTGAGTGCAATGGTAAGAATAATTTCATGAGGTGACAGGTGAAATGTTCCATTCCACCCGGCGAAGCCAAGTGGAATGGAACATTTCATCTGTCACCGAATGAAATTATTCTTTCCATTGCACGAACATGAAACATTCATTATTTGTTTTATATAACGCCTGATTAAATCCTTGTCATCTGATGGGTCGACTTTTAATAGCCAATTCATTCAGGTAAAAAACTGTTTGAAAGTGTTATGAAGCTATCTGAACCGGCCCACATTTTTGTCCTTTTGTTAATTTGCTACGAGCTTCGCATAATGGAGTTCTTAAAATACTTTGTTATATAACTCTTATTACTCAGTGTGTTATAAAAGGGCTGGGCTCCGGGCACGCGGTGTCTGTGTCCTTCAACGTGCCGTCGGGTTGTTCGGGCCCACGATACGAAGCTGTATATTCGAACAAGTTGTTAAGTTGCTTGAGTTGTTTTAATGAAAGATAGTTGGTAAGGGCCCTGTCACACTTCAGCGTATCCTAATTCCTTATGAGTTGCGCATTGACATTTTTTTCATACCCAGTCGTACGCACAATACGCACCGCATATGCATCTCTATCGTTTTGTGTAGGTTTTATGTACGCAGATATACGCATGGTACGGCGCAGTACGCATGGTAGTTTTGGGCATGCACAAAACTACGCTGCGTACGCTGTTACGCAGGTCATAAGTTATAAATACGCAGCGCATCGGTCCCGCATCGGTCGAGTGCGTTACGAGTATGCTATGTGTTCGTGACGCACCCCGTCAGCATATGAGCCGCCTGTATTGGACGTATACATAGCGTACTTGCAGCGCAGATGCAACGGCGAGCGGCGGAAATGCGGCGGGAATACGCTCAGAAGTGCGTCAAGCATTCGGTCGGCATAATTTAATTAGTCGGGTGCGTCCGGAATACGCTCGGCATGCGCACTGCATACTGACCTATTCGCAGCCCGAAAAATAATGTTGTGCACTGCATACGCAACTCATACGCATCTCATACGCAATGGATGCGCTGAATTCGTTACTTGTACGCTAGATGTGCGTCGCACATAAGTCAAAGTGATCAAAACATTTCGACGTTAATTGAGCGTACGGCTGCGTATTGAACATTTTTGATAAGGAACTCATAAGGAATTAGGATACGCAAAAGTGTGACAGGGGCTTTATGTTTTGCAAACCTGTCTTCAACTGTCTATCTGTTCGTAACAAAAGTTTGTGCGTCGCCCGCCGTGCGTCGTTCGTCGCCCGTCGCCCGCCGTGCGTCGTTCGTCGCCCGTCGCCCGTCGTTTGTCGCCCGTCGCCCGTCGCCCGTCGCCTGTTTTTAGATTTTGTCACGCTTGCGTTCGATTCAATGGTTTTGTGATAGATTGGAAGAGTGAGATTTACTTTTCGTATACACGTGTCCAGACATGTTGTATGCTTTAACTTATCATGGGGTAGAGCTGCTTTTTGAAGAAATGGTAATGCCCTCCAAGATTTTAATTTTGAAATGAGGTGTTGATACAATCCAGTATGAGTTTAACAAATAAATGATTAAACATGGTAAATAACACTTTTGGTAAACAAATCTTAAATAACAAACATTTATTACGCTGTCACAATCTTGGTCCTATCCCCTGTATTCAAAAAAGTAAAGAGCTCCCTGTATTAAATCAAAAACAATCAAGAATGTTCAATTGGGACTCGATCGATGACGCTATGTTAGGCGTACGTACGTGTATACGGATATGTTACACTCAGTTTGTCAAGCAGCCATTAAACGGATATCTTCCTTCCTCCATTTCAAACATGACGAAGGTAGGAAAACTATGATTTCGGATGAAGTTGTTAATTGACATGAGCTATGAAACTAGAGTACGGTTGTGAGGGAAGTGGGTTGAATTAGTAAGAATAAGCTGTAGCCTATAGATACCGAGTGAGACTCTTACAAAAGTTTATGCTTGTACTTAGGCATCTTCATGCTTACAAAACGTATGCGGTAGGCCTAATAGATACGTATCAGCCATGTCGTTGTGCAATTTCTTTGCAACACACTAGTGAGTTTGTTGTGCCAAACAACTCATGTACCAATTCCTATACTAAAGATAGGAGGGGAACTATTACATTCCACAATTTTGTTGATTTTGAAATATGGACATTAAATTTTGAGTAAAAAAAAACGAGGAGAAAAATAAATAATATGCAACAAATAAATATTTTCTCTGTGTGTTTCTTTTGCAGGTGTGAGCATGATCATGCAGTGGTAGATGCAAGGAGCTCAACACTGGCCATGTGATCCAATTGCACAACGAGTGAGATACAAGTCAGCTGTGACCCCATATATTGTGACTCTGAGATGTACACATTATGGTGTACCATTAAGGACACTAGAACGGACACAAAAAAGTGCTAATTCAGTGGATATTGTCTGGACTAAAGTGTGATTAGTCAGAAATTCAGTTACAAATCGCTCAAGTCGCTTGACTACAGATTAGTCGTATCAAGCAGGTTTCTTTTCTTGTCATATGACTATATTTTCTAGTCTGAGTCTGACTCTTGACTGATTTATAGTCATTAGTCATCAATACTCTGTGACTAATTTAGGTAAGTCGTACGAGACATATCACTGGACAATTTTTTTTTAGTCAAAATGACAAATTAATTTTTAGAGTGTATGTTTGTATGAATAAAGCATGGCATTTACACGTTTATAAGTTTGCAGAAAATAAAACTATCGTAACCGAAACGGAAAGCGGCACCGGGGAGGGTCACGTGCTGGAGGACAGATACAAAAAAAGCGCATCAAACGTGACGAACGCGATGCCGTTTACGTGCACAATGCGCTGTGCATCGGCACCCATGGTCTACTCGATTTGCTTTCAGTCCCTACCTGATTCCTTGGGGTTTTCCCAGACTATTTTTCTGGGGTTTTCCTCCCACCTCTAAAACTTTAATTTCTTCTCATTGTCTTCTCTCTACGGGTTTTTTTTTCGGGGTTTGCGAGCTACAGTGCCTGGGGCATGCACTTTTGAGGATCCTTGGTTTCATTACCAGAAAAAAACATATTTATCGTATTCTTCGTTTCGTATGAATATAAAGGAGTAAATGCTTCAGATTTCAAATATGCACTTGTCATTAACAAGGCTGGGTTGGGCAATCTTGAAATAATAAAGTAAAATAATTCTGTGCAAAAATTACTGCATTTATTAAAGTTCATAAAGTACAAATGATGCTATGTTAGTATGAATAAAACATGGCATTAGCTTTTGCTACCACTTTGAAGCATTTACTCGCATCTGTACGAATGCAAATTAAGCAAACACTTTTACTAAAAACTGTTTGCTGAATTCTGAAAATAATTACTTTTACCTTTAAGCTTTTGCTACACTATAAGCGTTTACTTCGTTTCTTATGACTAAAAAGGAGTAAATGCTTCAGATTGCAAATATTTACTGTCATATTTCAAGGTTGGGCTGGGGCTACCTTGAAGATATAAAAACACATAATTATGCGCAAAAATTACTGCATTTATGAATGCTAATCGCGAAAAAGTACAAATAATACCATACGGTAGTTCGTATGAATAAACACTGGCATTTGCATTACTCCCATCTGTATGAATACAAATTAATCAAAGGCTTTTACTGAATACATTTGCTCTTGAGTAAATGGCCTGCAAAATGTAAGCTTTACCATGTATAGGTTTGCAGAAAATAAAATTATCGTAACCGAAACGGAAAGTGGCACTGGGGAGGGTCACGTGCTGGAGGACAGATACAAAAAAGCGCACCAAACGTGACGAACGCAATGCCGTTTACGCGCACACGCAATGCCGTTTACGCGCAAAAGGCGCTGTGAATCGGCACCCATGGTCTACATGTGGATTGGGTTTTCAGTCCCTACCCGATTCCTTGGGTTTTCCCCAGATTATTCTTCTGGGGTTTTCCTCCCACCTCTATAACTGTAATTTCTTCTCATTGTCTACTCTATACGGGTTTTTTTTCTCTCGAGGTTTTTGAGCTACAGTGCCTGGGGAATATTCTTTGAACAGATTGAGCAATTTCAGTACTTTTATCATTTAAAAGTAGCTTATGAAGTTCGCTTTCCAGTCATTATTATTTTTGGCTCTTAATTTTTTTTTTCATATGAAATAAATTTTTGGGGGTTTAAGTTCCGCTTTTTCTGACTCACCTGGTATAAAAGTTCCTGTATGAAGATTAGCGCCTGATGTGGCTCAGAAAGCCGCAGTGAACGGTTTAAATTCAATCCTGTCTCTGGCTGTCGACCAATGGGAATGGGTAACCTGTTCAGGTACATGTATTTATGAATATTTTTAAAGGATAAAAATCAGGAGACTCCAAGAGAATGCTTAAGAAATCTCAGGGAATCTCAGAAGAGAAAAAAAAAAGGCAAATCTAATGAAATTCTGCATGGTTTGAAAAGTGAAGTAATAAGATCAGGAGAGGACGGAATCGGCGCCCGGCTGATAAATATCCTTCAGGAAAAGGCCAAAAAAAAGTCTCCGGTTGCTGGTATGTATGATGGCCCTGAAGGGACATCGCATATCGAAAACGTGTGCGCATACGTATGCGATGTCGCGAAATTTATCGCGAATGTGTGCGCACACGTATGCGATGTCGCGAAATTTATCGCGAATATATGCGCATACGTATGCGATGTCGTGAAATTAATCGCGAATATGTGCGCACACGTATGTGATGTCGTGAAACAATTCGCAAATATATGTGCGCACACGTATGCGAATTTGTTTGCAATGTCGTGAATTTTATTGCATACCTTGTCGCATACCTTTCAGTAAAACTCCTAATGAACTGGGGAGTTGTAGCAGCTAGTCTGGAATCTAGACGTACTGTTAGATATAAATAGGGTCTGACTAATAAACCTTCGCGCGCACGCTGTTCCTCGTGCAATCGTTACTACTAGTACTGTCGAGCGCAAACTTGCTACTTGCGCAAGTTTGAAACTTGCGTGCGCGCGAAGGTTTAACAGTACGTCTAGATTCCAGACTAGCTGCTACAACTCCCCAGTTCATTAGGAATTTTACTGAAAGGTATGCGACAAGGTATGCAATAAAATTCACGACATTGCAAACAAATTCGCATACGTGTGCGCACATATTCGCGAATTGTTTCACGACATCGCATACGTGTACGCACATATTCGCGATTAATTTCACGACATCGCATACGTGTGCGCATATATTCGCGATAAATTTCGCGACATCGCATACGTGTGCGCACATATTCGCGATAAATTTCGCGACATCGCATACGTGTGCACACACATTCGCGATAAATTTCGCGACATCGCACACGTGTGCGCACACGTTTGCGATATGCGATGTCCCTTCAGGGCCACCATAGGTATGCGCGCGCGTCGCCGTAGCCATGCGCGTCGGTAAAATTAAAGGGTTTTTTTTTTCAATAAAAGATGATGTCTCAAAACCGCCAAACTCACTGGTTTGACTGGAATCCTGCTGCTGCACAATTTTAACGTGTTTTTAGATTGGGTTATGGTCGAGAATAAGTTTTATGTGGCCTCTCTGGACTTCCATATATTTGCACTAAGTTTAGTATGGCACCATTTGCAGTCATCAGCCGACATTTGAACCAAAAAAAATCAGGTAAAAAAAAATAAAAAGCCGCGTCGCCGCACCACTTTTTGGGCAAGCTCCATACCAGAAACTGGAGATTTTTTTTTTTGGCCAAAGAGTTGTGTGTTTGCTTTGATGAACCCCGCCCATCCTGATTTTTTTTTTCCACTGCCTGTGACAGACGTTTTGGAGTGCGCTGCTGTGGCTGCACCCTTTGGGATGGAAGATGGACACATCCCAGATGCAAGCATCACAGTGTCGTCACAGTTCAGCAACTCTTTGGCACCGACCAGAGTTCGGCTAAACTCTCAGGGTAAATATTTTATTGGCTTTTCGTTCAACAATTCCATGGGACAAGCAACAAGACAACTCAAACAAAATGTTAGGATTCAATAAGAACATTTGTCAAAAGCTTAAAACAAATCAAGAGTTTAATCAAGGATGTTGCTTCAAAGTGAAGTCTGTTTTGCTTAATTTGACTCAGACATTGTTTTGGTCAGTAACTATCTATTAATTTCACCAGTACCTCTACATTATATGGGCCTTCTGCATGAGTTGGCCATTTTTGTCGAGTTCCCGGAATGTATTTCTTAAATTAACTGTTGATTGGGATGGTGCCAGACTATTTATGCAGCCTTATTTTGTTGTCATTTTCTTAAAAATCTGACTTAAAACATTAGGGAATGTTTAATTACAAATGTTCAATATTTCATTGAAGCAAGAATTGAATTAATTAGTAATTTACTTGCTTTCCCTTTTCTTCGCAAGTTCCAATGATAAAATTTACCTCACTTTCAATTCAATATGGCCGACTCGTGCGCAAGGCTTGGCTAAAGCCCATAACCCAGTTCCTCGTTCAATCACAGAACCTCTGGTGTAGTGCTTGTGGCATAAATTTGCTAAACACTTTTATGCTCGGACGGTTTGATTTAAGTTCTGCTTACTTTGCAGCCGAAAGCGGGACCTCAGGTTGGTGCAAAGGAAATCTGGAAATCAGGAGATCAGGAAATCAGGAAGTCGATTCTTGGATCCAAGTGGACCTCGGTTTCACTTCGATCATCACTAGCGTTATCACGCAGGGGTACGGGGACACCTCATGGGTGGCATCGTTCAAAGTGGCCTACAGCGACGATGGACAAGAATGGACTGCCGTCACCAATAATGGATCAAGTGTAATCCAATCGCTTTGTTCAATTTGCCCGCTCGCGGACTCAATTTCATGAACAAGTGTATACTCAGTGTTGCCCATTGTGAGATAAAATTCACAAGCTTAATGCCATAGATTGGTTGAGAGCCAACCAAGTAAATATTTTCTCATCACTTTTTTTTATTTAGAAGTAAATGAAACAAATACTATATCATGGGACGAATGTCAATTTTGGATTTGTTGTCTAATCGACTTATATTTCCTTCCAACCATTTTCCTGTCAACAAATCTGCTGTCTCCGTAAACTTTTCAACGATAGTTGAAATCATTTCCATAATTTTTCTCCCTCACAGTTCCCTGGAAACTACGACTCAAACACCCAAGTGACGACTTCTTTCCCGAGAGCGTTCCAGGCCAGGTTCCTGCGCATCGTGCCTACGGCGTGTACAGATGATACCCAATGCATCTGTATGCGATTCGAGGTCGTCGGCTGTTGTGCATGTCGATGTCCTGTTCGGCGAGTTCCGTTCATCACACATGTTTAGGAAACCCGCTCTAATGCTTAATTGGAAATATGATAACTTAAACACACCAGCAAACAAACCAACCAACAAACAAATACATTAAATATAAAATGCATGACGTTTGCGCTAAGATTTAAGGACTTATTCCGGCCTCTTACATTCTGACTGAGGGCTATGGTGGACCAGTTCAAAAATTCTAAACACACAAAATGACATAGCCCCCAGCTCTTTAGTGCCAACTTTCCAATGACCACTCGAGCTCGGGTTTTCCAATCTTTGCTGAAAAATAAATCGGTTTGATGAAAACTGATAGTTAATAGTAACTAACATTTGCCTTTCTTTCAGAGTCATAGAGATTTTGATTGACACAAAAATAATATAAAATTTAATTGCATATAATTATTGACATGGGCTATACAGCATCGTTGTTTGCATGTAGTAAATTATAAAAGCAGAATATTGGGACGGAACACGAACTATAAATGTATATTCGCCAATCGTATGTTCAAACACCATAGAAAAACATGCGAGTCGCCCACACTTTTCATATTGGGGAATCTTGGTAGTTGGTCAAATTTATCAAATTAGGTTTTGCCCTTCACCGACGTTTAAAACACTGTATTGTGACGGAATAGGAATTAAGTCACCAACTGTATGTTTTAAATACACTAGCACACTGTGAGTCACCCACACTTTGCATATAAGGGATCCTTGTTTCTGATTGGTCAATTGAGTTTATGCACTGTTGTATGGCAAAGAGAAGTTGTACACTAGCTTATGGGGCTCAGAGTCTGTAAAATGGGGTTGCAGGTCTAGGATTTAGTCAGTTGATTGCTTGATTCTCTTATGATCAGAATAATTGTTAAGGCTCTTGATTATGTGGAATGACATGACAGATGATAATGATTAAAGGCTTGACCACCGTACTTGATTACTGTTTCTGTTCACCAATTACTAGTCTGTCTTAGGGCATAGGGTCTACTTAGGACTGAGGGCAAAGCCCCAAGGGATATAAGTTGGTCCACCCCCATTCCGACTCCGCCTATTCCACCCCATTCCTACTCCACTTCCATTCCCCTGCTCCATTGCCCTGACTACCAGTCTACTGGCTGATCCGATCAACCAAGATTAGGGGATAGCCTGGTGCTGTGGCCCACCACTGCAGGGATAGGACACCATCGGGACGGCACGCTACCACCCAAACCAGCCTGACGCAGGAGAGCTGGCACCACACGTCACAGTATACTCAGTGTGTTACCTCCCGAGTGAAAGATGGAAAAAATCACTCGGGTGGGACTCGAACCCACGACTTCCTGCTTTCTAGTGCAGATGTCTTACCACTCGACCACCGAGCTAACGGGATCGACTGGCTGGTTCGAATCTGATGTACATATAGCAGCGGGTACCGTATAAACTATAAGATGGAATTTGGCGCCGGGCTGATACAAATCAAGTTAGGTTTTGCCCTTCACTGACGTTTAAAGTCTTTCCATTGTAAACTCGGTGGTAAGACATCTGCACTAGAAAGCAGGAGGTCGTGGGTTCGAGTCACACCCGAGTGATTTTTTCCATCTTTCACTCGGGCGGTAACACACTGAGTATAGTACACCAGATTCGAACTAGCCAACCGATCCCGTTAGCTCGGTGTTTGAGTGGTAAGACATCTGCACTAGAAAGCAGGAGGTCGTGGGTTCGAGTCCCACCCGAGTGATCTTTCCAACTTTCACTCGGGAGGTAACACACTGAGTGAACAGTGTTTAAACGTCGGTGAAGGGCAAAACCTAATTTGATATCACCCCGACGCTAAATTCCATCTTATATGGTCAAATTTAGTTAAGGTACTTCTGCATGGCAAAGAAAAGCTGTACATTTAGTCTGAAAGCGGCTGTATTAAGGGCAGGATTTGAGTTAAACTTGATGATAAATTGCTGACTAGATGATTGTTTGATTTCCTACTGATTAGGACAATTATTAATAATAATGTTGATTATAATGAAATGATAATGCATACGAAGATGGATGAGTAAAGGCACATGACCAATATCCCAGGTCCATGGACTCCTTCCAACAATTACTACGATGTAGTCTACGTTGCGAATCATTTACAGGGATTGCCCAAGAGGTCTGTCCTTGTTGAACAAACACACACACCTCTTATTTATTTTTACCACTGGAAACCTGAAATAAATAATAATTAGGCATGCTTAATGTTAAAAAAAAGGCAACTTCGATAAGTTTAACGAAAGATCCTATATTATGTCATGCAGATTATTACATAAAGTTTTATTACATATGGACTTCATAAAAATGGTCCATAAGCTGAGACTGGTAAGTCATCAAAGGTAAATGATTTGAAACAAATTGTTTTTTTTACAAGATTCAAAGGTACCTTTTGATGACAAAAAGGCGATTCATTAGAATTGAGTACAAATGTTACGACATTTTCTAAAACTAACAAAAGTCAAATTTACCTCCAATGTATTTAACTCAAATTTGTTTCTAGTTCTTCCTGGAAGTCGTTTTATGTTATTATCAACCTTGACAGACTTGGCGTTCTTGAAAAGCTCAATGTCATGAAAAGTAGCCAGACTAGGTATACCAGCGGCAATTCACTTTTTCATATACCAACGAGAAATCAAATGTATATTTTCCGTAGAGGCGAGCTTTCAAAAATTGTTTTTAAAAATCAAAGTCTATTAAAGTAACGTTTGACACGTCTCATTGCAATTTCAATGAAAGTTGAATATGGAGAGTTTATTTCCAATTCCCGATTAACGCCATGTTGTACCCTTTAAGAATCCCACTCTCTCCTGGTTGCTTAATGTCAGTTTCGACGGCTGTTATTATAGTTAAACACAATCAGAGCATACATTAAATCTGAAACACGTAGTTTGGCAACAGTTGTTATATTGTTTGTATTCTTAAAAGTTTCATAACCGTGAAAATTGTTCACTATTTTTTCAAATGGATAAATATCGCGTATTGGAAATAAACTCTTCATAGGAAATCTAAGTGCATCCTAAAAACATCAACTTTATAATGTAAACCATTAATATATAATATACATGCGTATACATTCAGTTTGTCTAAGTAACATATACATGTACAAAAAAATCTGAACTTATTCCATCAAAGCAGACCAATCCAATACACAATTTTACCTAAAGCAAAGCTGTCTTGATTGAAATGAGTTTAAAAAGGCTTTGAGATCTGTAGGCCTATAGTTGAAATACCAGCCTTCTAAGCAAAGCATTTGCTTGCATGACTCCAACTGCAGACTGCCCAACCTAGTTGGGGGTGTAGCTGGGTGGGTTCTCGAACTGTTGATACGGACCAACCCTGGTGGCTGGATTGCCGGTGGACACTGTGACTACAGACGTGGGTGGTGCAACTGCGGGTCGAGAACAGAGGAATAAGAGATTAGAAAATATTCCCGCTTCATCTGAAAAGACTGATTACATTTTCGCCATATTGGAGGTGTGCTTTGTTATGCTAATTTATTAACAATGAATGCCAAAGAGGTCTGTCCCTGATGAACAAAAGCATACACCTCACAGATGGCCGCAAGCAGTGCGAACCATCTATAATCGCCCTCAGGTGATGTACACTCTTTTGTAATCAAGCCAATCGTAAGTTCATTCATCACAAATCAAATCACGAGTCCACGGCACATAAACGTTAACAAAAGAATGTCCTTGTCACAGTTGGAATACTGTTATTATTATTATTATTATTACTATTATTATTTATTCGGCCAAATTACAAGGTACAACAAGCAATCCACAAAAGTAAACAAAACTTAACAAAAACAATCCAATCCAAGCTGGCCAGGATTGACAAAAGTATAATAAAACACTGTGACTCGAAAGCCTGTCAATCCTAACTTGAATGGTACATGTAACATACAAAATATATTTTAAAATAGGTACAAAATTCAATGAAAAATAAGACCGCCTTAAAAATAATACTTAAAAAGATGATTAGATTCAAAGGATTAACAGTTACAACCCTGACCACAGTTTTCAAAGGCATGAATAGCTGGCGTGAAAACCTAACAACATGCAGATTATACAAGAATGGGGAAAAACAGACAAACAAACCAAAACAAAACCAACAAACAAATCAAGCTAATAAACAAACACAACAACAAACAAACAAAGCAAAACAAGACAGGATAAGACTTAACAAAATGAAACAAAACAAGAGAAGTCAAGTCAAGACAAGACAAGACAAGACAATACAAGACGAGACGAGACGAGACGAGACAAGACAAGACAAGACAAGACAAGACAAGACAAGACAAGACAAGACAAGACAAGACAAAACAAAACATAACAAAACAAAACATAACAAAACAAGACAACACAACACAACAACACCAACACAACAACAACATAAAAAAGCGGAACGGAAGATTCGTACAGTAAACAAAATAATTAAAATGAAATACAAATAATTAATAAGCAATATAAACCTGATAAAGAAAAGTAAAAAAAACTTCTGGCAGTTGACAGGCGAGAAGAACTTTTTCAAAAAAACTGTTCGGTTTATGAAGATGATATGAAGATAATTTGGCTGCGCCTATATACCGATTGGTTGCCGTAAACTGTGCACGAACTTGCTCAATGTGTCGCGACAAACACACCTACCTTTTCCTGCCCAGGTATGACCCTATAGTCTTCAACCATATTCTCTACATTTACAGTCACTCATTTTAAGGCTAACTCATACAAAATAATTAATTTAGTACCTTCTTCGTTCATTCTTTGTTATAATTTTATGTGAGATTTTATGTGACTCAGAGAAGCCAATGCAAATCTCACCTCTCGTTGAGGTCACGATGACAGCAGCCCTTCTTTGAGTTCGAGCGACTCTAAACGCGACAGCAACACTTATGGCGATGAAGATCACCGCACTAACACCAGCCCCCCAAAAAGTGTAATGGCTGATGAAGAAAACAAACGATCAAAGAAGATCTGTGTCAGTGAATATATAGGCCAACTTTCAACTTTACTTTCCTCGTTTCTGATGAACTTTGACAAATCACAATTGATATTAGGCCAAAAAAAAAAATAAGTCGTTCTCTGGTCAGCGCGCGCGTCGATTTTAATCATGCGCGTCAATCTTTTTTTTTTCCAAAATGTTCCGCGGTAGTTCCAACAGCGCCCTCTATTGCCGCACCAACTCATTTTTTTTTTACCAAAGAGCACCAAGGAATGGGAAATTGCACCAAGGCAAATGATCGAGAGCACCAAGGCAAATTATGGAGGACATCAATGTACATGAGGACACCAAAAAAGCAAAAAAGTACCCCACCTTGTCTGTACAATCCAAGCTTGAAGGAAAAAAGAAAAGCACAAAAAAAAAAAGCTGCATCCCCGCGTCAATTCCGGAACTTTGGTCTGACCAGAGACCGAATATTTTTTTTGTGTGCCTTAATCGAGATATATTTATTTGTTTTGTGGATGCAAAAAATGACAGCGCAACGAGACGAATCACGTTTTATAAAGATTCATGTGAGATATGACGTCATCATGGGTCACGTCACTGTGGACAATACTTTGCAAATCATAAAATACCAAAAGTTCCTTATTTTTCTAAACACCATGCATTCACTATAAATACAGATTTGTCTCCCTAAAGTCTAAGCCCTACTTCTGAAAATGTTTCACAGAAATACCCGTCTTTAGCTCCCAAAATGCAATACGTGAACATTACGAACCCAGTTACCTAACTCCCTCTTAGATAACAAAGCGGTGCAGTAAACATGCTTTGTCAATGGTTAAATTTTAGGAGTTTAATTAATAACGTCAATAGAATGTGTAGGAATTGTATAGGAAGAGAGATACCTTGAGTTATAGGTGCCATCGTCGATATCCGGGCTTGAATCATAACCCTGCCAGTCACTTTTGGTGCAGCAAAACTGATAAGGTGGGCTGACAGCAGTAGTTCAGAAAGGAGGCGTCCGATATACTTGGACAGGACAGGCCCGTGTGGTAGCCGTCGTCATCAAAGTAGCCGCTGCACGTGTGCTCGCTCCCTGCGAAAGAATAACGGGCACACCAGGCAATGAAGGACCAAAGAACATTCATGAATTTCATAAAGTGCTCATGCAAATGTGTAACTCAAATCCTCAAATAACCTCATTCATAAGTCAATCGCAAGTCAAATGGTCTTAAATCAAGGGACAAACATTTCTAATGAGCTTTGAAAAGAGAAAGCTTTTCATCATTGTTCATCCCCAGTTACCTGTGACCTGACTTGTGATTGGACTCGTGAATTGGACTTTTGATTTGATTTGTGATTTTACTTGATATGGGATGGACTTGACTGTAACTAAGAAAAAAAGCAAAAAGCAAAAAAAAAAAAAAAAAAAAGCCGCGTCCCCGCGTCAATTCCGGAACTTTGGTCTGACCAGAGACCGAATTTTTTGGGGGGGCCTAAGGTCCGAATTTTAAAGTCGCGAAATTAATATCAGAGCATGCGCAGGATACCTGCCGATGTTTTCATTCAAATTTGGTCTAAAACAAAACGTGATAGTGACACCGCAAACAATTTAAGACGTCTTTAACCCTCCTAGGGTATAATCAAAATTATGTGGATTAGGATAAGCTACGTTACTCATTCTTTAGGTAGCCCTATTTCTTATTTACTCTGATCCCTAGAACTATATGATGTAACATGTGCTTGATAAACCTATATACAAGTCAAGATTCTAAAAAAAAAATTCAAGTAGGCCTAAAAAAAAAAAAAGGAATAAAAATAGATGTAGTGATAACGATGAGCGTAAACACACCACGAATAATGCTCATAACGCCAGCTGAAAACAGTTTGTCGAGTGTGCATATTTTATGGCCTCCAAAAAGAAAACGAAAAAAACGGCGGTGAAATGATTTTTTTCCACCTAACATCTACTTTAAATATGGTCAGTTCATTATTCAGTGCATTGCAATAACCCAAACCAAACGAGAAGTGTTCCTGAGTTACCTTTGGAGAATGAGCACAGTGCTACAAAGACGACCAACTGCAATACGAAGTGCGCCATTTTGCCAGATCATTGAAACCAATGAAACCACACGTACAACAAAATTACTGCGTGTACGCTGAGGCGGATATAGCTTGATATTATCAGATATACAGTCTGACATGGTACAGGCTATGGTCGTCAAGCAGCGTCAGTTTTGCACAATGCAGCACACGTTTAAAAATGTTTAGGCAGTGATCATATCAACATTACAAAAATAATACGTCTTTATCGCCGAGTCTCAACTCTGAACTTTCATGGTACCAAAAATGCCCATTCCTGTACATGCAAGACCAAAATTTAAAATGAAGTAAACTAAAACAATAAAGGATCCTCTCACAAGCAATGTACGCATGTGACTTGTGAAAGTCTAATGACCATTCTTGGATTCATACAGGAAATACAGGACGTGCGTTTCCTTTGTACTTTTTTGTGACGATATTGATGTATAACTTTACTTTCGATTTACACAAAAGATTGACCGACCTAGAAATAGTAGTTTTTTTCTGAATTTCCTGTTTTAGTCTTGCGTGTGTGTCAGATTTTGGTTTTTGCTCAACCAAAATACGGGTAATCGTAAACAATGTTTTTTTTTTCGAAAAATGTTCCTGTATTCACTCGGTCGTATTGGCATTTTTTTCAGGTGGGAAGCGAAAATAGTCGAATTTTAAACGTCATGTGGACACGTTTGGTCTAACGGTGGAGCACAGGATTCATGATCGAGAGGTTGTGAGTTCAAGCCCCATCATGATCATGGCCATGCGTGTTGTACCCGTGAGTAAGGTGCTTTACCTCAATTACTCCTCTCAACCCAGGTGTTAAATGGGTACCGGCAGTATTCAATGCTGGGAAGGTAACAGACTCGCTGTGGAGGAGTTGTGGCGACCCCCCCCCCCCCCAGCAGCATATGAGTCTGGCCCAATCGCTAAACGAAAGAGATATGGCACTCCGTTCCTGTGAACACAGGTTCGTCCCTTTACCTTTTTTACCTTATCATTTTGTGCAGTATAAGAAGAGAAAGGAGTCAGATAATGTGTCTTCGTGCTAACTTCTTTACACGTTGAGCAAAGCATTCATAGTTTCGTGATGTTGGACTGATGTGCTTCACTTTCTGTTCTACCTCCTAGGTGAACCCATTCGAGTCAGCTTTCTTGTAATTACAGCGCCTCTTGACAGGCACAGTGGTTGGCTTTATAGCTGTATTGACTTGAATGCTAAAGTGTCGGTAATGGCTCCGTGGAATAGGATCCACCACGATCTGTTGACACAGTCCTACCATATATTGCTGGTTACAGTGGCTAGATCTGGGTTGACCTCGTTTCCTTTGTACTTTTCTGTGACGGTATTGATAAATGTACAATTTTACTTTCGATTTACACAAAAGATTGACCGACCTTGACGTAGTAGTTTTTTTTATCTGAATGTTCTGTTTAGTCAATGGGTCGGTGTTGGCTTCGTGGAATAGGATCCACCACTAGTTTGACACAGTCGAGTCATACGATAGTGCTAGATCTGGGTTGTATCTACGTCTCCACCCATTGCTGTGAAACAAAGGAGGTAGCTTTGGGTCATGGATGAGACTAAGTTGGTTCGTGCCCATTCACTCATCCACTGCTTCTCAATCCTTTATTGGTTTCCATGTACCCACATTGGGTGTCATGGCTGTTAAAGTCACCAATGATGACCTGCGGTTTGCTGTGTACTTGAAGAACAGAGTAAGGACATTTAAAATGTACTGCTGGTGGTTTGTAGACAGATGTTACAGCCCGATACACGGTTACAGCCCGATAGTCCGAAGGTTCTTTAGTCCGAAGGGTCATTAGTCCGAAGGTTCGTTTTAATAGTCCGCAGGTTCAATAGTCCGAAGGTTCGATATTCCGTACTTACCATGGACATGCACTTGTGAGGTACCTGTTCTTTGTTCGAGGTACCCCGCAAGTGAAATCTTTAGCAATTGAGGTACCCTGCAAGTGAAATCTTTAGAAAAAGGGATAAAAGGACAACAATGCAGGTACCCCGGAACGAGTCCCATCCGCTGGAACGTCCGAAGGTTCGATAGTCCGAGGGCCCAAAAGTCCGAAAATAGAATAAGATCAATTAATCCGAAGGCTCCCTATCGTCCGAATAGACGACAGGGTGCGATAACACTGCGATAGGGTTATCTGTTGCATTTGATATTGACCTCTTGCTTCCAAATACTGTGACGTCATCAAACCGGTTGGATGTTATTATGAACACTTAATTTCCATGCGTTGTTTTTACTTAATGATAAACAAGTGTCCTCCCTTCCCTTTTAAACTGATGACGTCATCAAACCGGAAACTGCTTGTACGAGTACCTAAATGTTTACTGAAATTTATCACACCCTAAAAGACACATTCTTTTTGTACAAAATAATTGGTACCGGAAATGTTAAAGTTCTTGATCCTTTTTATCTGACATAAACATATTCATAATTTAACTGGACAATGTCTAATGAAATAGTTGTCTACCCGACCACTCTGCGTTTGTAACAACAAACGCAAACCTCTAGTATTAATAGATGAATTTGTCAATATTAATATCTGTAACGGTGTGAAATAATCTAGAAACGTGTTTTATCCAACACTAGTGACTGTTTTTGACATCGGAAAACAACATTGATCATTTTTGTTTTCAGACACTTATAATGGATAGGAAATATACCTTCTCCCAGCGTGTACGCAAAAACGTCTATCGATAGACTATTTTGTCTTTTTATCCTAAGTATCTGATCGATGGGTGTGGGAAAGTCTCCGTCGTTCGAGTTATATATCGTCGGTCTCTGTTCGTTGATGTTATATTTGGGTTGTTTTCAATTTTTTTTTTTTTTACTTTGTCGGTATATTTACTCGGAGCGGCTCTGAAACACCCATCACACAAACTCTTTATCTTTGTTTTTAATGTTGAAGATTGCTGTTTTCTTTTTTGAGACAGGCGGATAGGTCTGTGTAAGAGCTACCTCCGGCCGGGTTTGTAACGATTTACGTTGATGTAAAACACGAGTCCGAGCCCCTATTCGTAAGATTGTCGTGTTTTTCTAAGATTTTATCGATTTCTTCCTTGACAGTTTGCTATATTTTTCTCTCGGTCAAAACGACTCTCTGGCAAGGGCGGATCCAGGGGGGAAAAGGGCCAAAGGGGGCCATGCCCCCCTTCCCCCCCCCCCCCAAAAAAAAAGTCGCCATAGAGGCAGGCAATGAGAACACAACCATCTTTTCCTCAAAAAAACATTGGTTAAAGTGGTCAGAAATTGCCTCAGATCGCACCACAGAGCATCTAGAATCCAAAAAAAAATCGGGGCCCTTATAAAGCGGGTCCCGAACCCCACGCCGTCATTTTTTTGACCCACTTTTCGGGAGACCAAATTTGTTTTGGGCCCCCCCCCCAAAAAAAAAATTGTGTTCTGGATCCGCCCTTGCTCTTTGGTCGTTAGAAGAATAAATTCCGCTGTTACAGGTTCTTCATCAAGTCTGTGTTTAACATATCTCACTTTGAGTGCAATCTGAAGTTTGATGCTTCTCAATTATCTCAATTAAGATTGCAACTCTGCTTTCGATTTGCTGCACATGAGTATATAAAGACTGAACTACATCATTAATAAACAGCCTCGAGATCAGCTCCCAGTTTCTGAAGTGATTTTTAAACCTTCTCGTCTCTCTATTAGTCGGCCTCTTGAAATCTTCGGGAGATTTAAATCTTTTTAACCCGTACATGTAACTTTTTTCTAAGAGGTTGGCCTTGTCTACCCATCGGGACGAGTTGTAGGTTTTGATCGTCTACAATTTGTTTGAGTTCGGTGAGTTTCTTAATTCTTTTTATTTGCTCTCGTACTCTCTTATAGCTCCGATGTAGTCTCGGCGAATAT